AGAGAGCTTTTGCAGCAGTACAGGCATCAATGCTTGACCCAGCTGAGAATGCTACACTCCCAATCTGCTACAGTGCTGGCTGGGTGCTTTTCTTTCTTTGACATTTCCTTGCTTGTTGCCTGGGTGTGGGATCAGTTTTAAGGGAAGGGGCGTGGCAGCTACTATGTTTCTATTCTTTTGTTTTTTGTTTTTTTTCTTAAAGGGCCAGAGCCACAGTGGGTGGGGCAGCCATGGGGTGGGCTGGGACAGTGGCGGAGGGGTCAGGGGGCTCATACTGAGCCCCCCATGCAGCGTGGGGCAGTGGAGGGCAGTGGGGATTGCCCCTTGCCTGGCAGCACCCAGTGAGTGGGGCTTTTTTTCTCTGGGAGCTGGGGCAGGCGGGGCAGCCATTGCTGAGCTGGGGGGATGGGCCTGGCTGATTTCAATAGAATTGAATCGGGACAGTGATTCGAATCATCAAATTGAATTGCTGTCCCCCGAATCGGCCGAATCCAAAGCAAATACTAGCCGCTTGCACAGGCCTAGTCTTCAGCCCACTTAAGAAATGCTGTCAATGCTCAGTAAAGAAACTAGCAGTTCCTGTGATGCTGACCCAGGGGTTAATCTCCACATAGAATCAATTGGCCTCTGCCACCCTGGAGCCTTGTAGGTCAGTTAGATCTGAGCCCAGAGGTCTAGTCAGCTTGCATTTGTGTGGCAAAACCGAGGCTTGTTAGGATGAGCTGGGCCGTCACAGTTGTCTCTGCTGTGCTGCCCGCAGATGGAGATGCACGATGAGATGTATTCAATGCCAGATGACGTCTTTGAGTCGCCACCCCTCTCGGCCACCTACTTGCGAATGCAGCATTTGGGAGAAGAAGCCCGATCCCTCGAGGCGGAGCAGCCATTTCAGTGAGTATTGGTTCTGGATTGAGCCATGTCTGGGCTTGGAGTTGTGGCAAGGCCCAGTCCCAGAAATCTGTCTGCTTTTTCCTTCGGACATGCCATGGTGCCCTTGGTGCCCCAGTCCTAGGCATCTCTGGAGCTACTGCCATCCCTGATGGTGCTGATTGTGTAAGGAGTGGAGCAGAGTTGGATGAAGCCAAGACATTTCCCTTTTCTTGGCATCTCCTTTTGCTTCTGGGAGGATGGGTTCCTGCTGGGATAAGGCCCAAGGAGGTCTGGGATTCAATCGCCTGCTCCTTTTGAATGGCTATTCTTGCTGCAGGAAGGAAGGTGTGAAGGTCTGGGGGCCAACTGCTAGTGAGGCCAAAAGGGGCAAACGGATTGCTTCCAAAGTGAAACACTTCGCCTTCGACCGCAAGAAGCGATACTACGGGCTGGGGGTGGTCGGCAAGTGGCTGAACAGGACGTATCGCCGCAGCCTCAGCAGCATGGTGCAGTCTCAGCTGGAGAACACTGACAGTCATAGGTGAGAGCTAGGTTCTGGTTGCCTGAGGGAGGAGACAAGCACTTGTTTTATAAGGGGCTGGGCTTAGGCTGGACACCACAGCTGCCATCCTGGGAAGCTCTGCCAGCGCATCTCCATCCAGACATGCGGCACCCCTGGCATTCCAGCTGTGGTGCCTGCCTCCCACGCTTCTGCACCGCAATGCTCGCTGCGGGCCCCTTGCTCTACCTGCCTTGACACCCTGCCCTGCTAGTAGCTTTGCCAATGAACCTACGTTCTGACCCACAAAGTGCCTTGATAGGCCAGTTCTGGCACCTCAACCCTGTCCTGCAGGTGTGCCAGTGGACCTTCTCAGCCACCTATAGCACCCCATTCTACTTCAATCCTTTGCTGACCCCCACACCCCCACAGCTCTGCCAATGCCAAATCGAGTCCTAAGCTCCTTCCATCTGAGCTGCAATATCCCTGTTACTTCAGGCTGGGGGATCTGTTGGTTTAACATGAGAACTGGCTGCGCCCAAATCACTTGCAGTCTCTATGAAAAGTAATCCCTGTCTCTGTTCCCCTCTCCCAGGCCGTACTTCACTTATTGGATCACCTTTGTGCATATCATCATCACCCTGCTGGTTATATGTACCTATGGGATTGCGCCCATTGGCTTCGCCCAGCATGTGAAGACAGAGTTAGTAAGTTTATTAGATCCTGATTGATCCCATGTGGCTGTTTCAGTGCAATCTTGCCAAGCAGGGCATGGGGCTGGTGTCACCTCTGGCTGTCACTTCCTGCCTGGACAGCACCAGTGTTCCAGTTGCTGACCAAAGCAAGACTGCGTCAGGAGGCTCTACCTTTGCACTATCCCAGTCCGACTTGACTTTCTCAGTGGTTGTTGCTTCTCTCTCCTCTAGTCACCCGAGCACTGAGGGAGACAGGAACTGGGTCTTCCTATGAAGACAGCCAGCATATCATCCTCTTTCTGTAACCTTCTATCTCTTTACACCTACTCTGATTTCCCTCCCCCTCTCTTCCCCCCAGAGGAAGTCACTGCATTTTCTGGTGTTATTTTTGAGCTTAGTGGGCCTGTATAAAGGGCCTGGCATGGCTCCGTGGCTAGTGCATTTGTGACTTTATAGCATATGTGCTCCACTTGCAGGGAGAAATAGGGAGTTTTCTCTGTTTTTCCCCAGATTGTCATTCCTGAGTTATAGCCTGGGATCATAATCAGAATGATGGCGCACCAGGCTGGGACTGGGGAAACTTGGGATCAGGTCCTGTTCCCTGCCACCAGCTTCTTGTATGACCTTGAACAAGTCATTTAACTCTGATCCTCCGTTCCCAGTCTGAAAAAGGGGAATAGCTTTGTTTTCTCTCTCAAGGGTGTCATGCAGGTAAAAGCCCTTAACTCAGATACTACAGCAATGAGGGCTCTAAGTGCCTAAACAAACGTGAAAATGAAGTTGGCCTTTCCCTCCTCTCTCGCCCCCTGTGAAGAAGAACGCTGAGCCAAGTTTATATTAAGTTACACTGGGCAACCCAGTAAAAATGACTGGGCAGTACAGATGGGATGAAGAATCTTGGTTGCTGATGGCAGCGTGAGCTGCAGCCAGGATCTTGGGTGTGCAGAGTTGTTTGTTTGCATCATATGAGGTCTTTGGTGCTTCTTGTTGTCCAGCCCATGGTGTGATTTGCCCTCTGAACTTCTTGACCATTTGGCAGGTGCTGAGAAACAAAGGGGTGTACGAGAGCGTGAAGTACATTCAGCAGGAGAACTTCTGGATCGGCCCAAGCTCGGTAAGGGGCAGGGCTGTTGCTTGGGACTGCCTCCCCGCTCCCCCCC